TAAGAAAAATTTTTCAATTTTACTTTGTGTGCATCTTAACGAATAATATTTTATTATGGATAAATCTGGCATTAGAGAGTTAATAATAACGGGTGTTCCATATAAATGGACCTCCCAGTATTTTGCTTATAACTTGATTTGGATTTATTCCCTCGAAACTCGATGCTTGTTTTAAAAGATGCGCTGTGAAATTCGCTACAAAATCATACCTAAACTATAGTTTCAGAACTTCAATCAAGAAAACTAAGCCAGTTAGATAAAAGTCGAAAAAAATGTAACCTTCCTAAACTCAAAACTGATTTCTTGTGTTACCGTTTTGGAAGTAAGAAATACTGAATTAATCATTTTATAGTCCCGACGTCGCTCTATCTTTTAGCTACACTTCAAATTTTTTCACCACAAGCCACAGCGAAATAATAGTTTTTCTATCGGTTGTCATGCATTTTTTCATTAATTTTTTAAATTTTTGGTATAGTAGTGCTGTCAGTAAAAGTCCCATAAATCGATCAAAATAAAAGCTTTTTCGGTCGGATTGCTTTATTTTGATTAGAAATGACTGCTCTTCTCTATCTAACTGCAAAATCAAACTTCAATCATCACTTCCGTTTCTTGATTGAGCACATTGTTGGAAACGGGGAGGTTGCCAACTTTTGATGTATTTTTGTAACTTCGTTCTCAAGCACACCATCTGCTCTAAAGAAGTTTTTTTACAGACTACGAGAAAGAGCACATTTGAAAGTACCAAGCATAAACTGAATTTTCACTTTTGCTACACTTTTTAGCGGAAATAGTAGCAGAAGAAAAAGTTCAAGTCACAAAATATCTTGAGTTTAGGAAGTTCACATTTTTTTCGACTTTTATCTAACTGGCTTAGTTTTCTTGATTGAAGTTCTGAAATTATAGTTTAGGTATGATTTTGTACGGAATTTCACAGTGCATCTTTTAAAAAAAGCATCGAGTTTCGGGAACAAATCCAAACCAAGTTATAAGCAAAATACTGAGAGGTCCATTTATTGTGGGACACCCGTTATTATTAACTCTCTAATGCCAGATTTATCCATAATAAAATATTATTCGTTAAGATGCACACAAAGTAAAATTGAAAAATTTTTCTTAATTTATTATACACCGTTGGTAACTGATATATATATGTATTTTTAAGAACTCAGCTTTCATGCAATAAAAATATCATATTCGGAATCATGATCAAAACCGCAGTCGATTAATGTACATTTCTATTCTATCCGAATACTTTAATTTTTTTCGAATTTTTCCGTCCAAAATTACCGAGATTTTTACCCAGAACTGAAAATCTAGTGAAAATTTTCAAGTACACATTAGTTGGCTCAGCTTTTGATTGTAGTTTCGAATATGATATTTTTATTACATAAAGTTGACTTCTGATAGAGAAAATTGAGAATTACAGGCAGAATTCCGACTTTTTTGCCTTTAATTTAGAAAAAATGAATTTTTTCTTTCAAGTATCTTTCAAATATTTTTCAATTTTCATAAAAAAAATATTTTGAAAAATTAAAATAAACATTTTCTTAATCAACTTGCTGAGTTCCATCCAGCGGTGTATAATAATTTAAGAAAAAAGATTTGTTTTAATTTTGAGAGTTTTTTATCCATCAATTCTTGAATAAGAGAGCAGTGTACGTATTTTATTGACCTTATGTATATTCAGTACGAGAAATAGATCTTCTTACAATTTCTTCACACAAATTATATGTCATTTCTCTGCATTGTACATATTTGCATAGAATTCTATTTTAAGATTCATTTTTTTTGCTTATAAACAATTTATTCTGTTTCATGTCAAAAAATAAAGATAACTGGTGCCCACTAATTAAGTTGATTGTTCGAGGTTCATTTTAAAAAAACATTTTTTCTAAAAATAGTTCTATCAGAATGTTTTCCTATTGATATAAATATTTTTATAAAAAATATATATAATTAAAGAAAAAAAGAATATTTCAAAGTGAACAAAATGGAAGTTCTATAGAATCATTCGAAAAATTGATACTAAACTTATTTTACTATTACAAGAAAAAGATAAGTATACGCCTATATTTCAGATTAATAACTTTCATTATTGATAAGATAATATTAATTTAGTAAAATTGTAAACCATATAAATTCTATTATTTATGAAAACATTACTAATCTCTTCTTCTTTTTTTATAACCGCAAGGCTGTTAAGAAAATATTGGCAAGAGAGTTAGTTGTTTCACAATTGCGAATTTTATCAATATTGTTAGTTCGTCAAAAATAAATCAGTGGGGAAATAGTGTTTTTCTCTACTATTCTTTTGTTTTCACTGACTGACCTTTAATAAAAAATTGACTATTGATTGATTTTATACTCGTACCTGAATATGCTGCTTCGGGTAATGCTAATAAAACTGATATAAACCAAATAGAAATGACAATTAATTTTAATTTGATGGCTGGATCATTAGCGTGACTACTAAAATGACAGAATAAAAATAAATAATATATGTACGATATACAACGAACATTTTTAGTTTATTAGACGAACATAACACAATCTCTCACTTCATAAACCATTTCATTTAGTTTAATATAATTACTCAATAATCAAAATATATATTACAAAGAAAGATGAAGTTTATCAGAATAGTGTTTTAGTTCAGTAAAATGCCGAAAGGAAGACTACAAAATAAAATTTTTTAAGAAAAACTTTTGAAAATGTCATAATTAATTTAGAACGAGAGACTTGTTAAATGTAGTTTATTGAATATATGTGATGTGATACACATACAAGCACATTTGTGTAAGTAAACTGAATACATGAAAAAAATGTGTACACCCATTAAACTGATTGATTAGTTTATGGGAAGTCTAGTAATAACAAGAAAATATAATTTTTTTCTTTAAGATTAAAGTAGACAATTTCATTGTTTAACATACAGCTGGATGAGTAAACGGATTCACATCACAAATTGTATTTAATATAAAATTTGATTAAACAGGTCGCTGAGTGCTTTATTTATTGAAACTTATCTTTTTTTGTGGTGTTTTTTGAAATCTATGGCACATGACGATACTGTACATACTACTAAACTGTATTCTGCATAGATTCACAACGCAAATCAAATTTAAATGGGATCGATTGAAAAAATTCAACTTTATTTCAAATTAGTCATTTTATGCAAATATTTTGTAGAAAAGTTCTACTTGTTATTATAGTGACTTGAATAGTTTGGTAGGAAAAGAGAAAAGAACTTTTACCCGTAAGTAACAATGTTTCATGTGATTGTAAAGTGTAGTAACAAATTGGGAGAAGTTTTAAGTAAAAGTT